CTGCCGCAGCCAGCAGGCCCAGCTCGCGCGGCCCCAACATGCGCAGGTCCAGGAGATGGCCGTCGTCGGTCGCGAGGCGGGCCCCTTGAACAAGCCTCCAGCCCACCCTGGAGAGCGAGAGGGCCAGGGCATCCACCGGCGTGCGGCAGTGCACCCAAGGGGCTGCTGCTCCCGCGTGCCTCTGCACTGCCTCCTGCACGGCCGACTCGAACATGCGCAGCGGGACCTCCCCGGACTGGAGGAGACTGGCCGCCATCTGCACCGCGGCACGAAGCAGCGCGGGGCTCGGGTCGAGATCAGTGGACCTCATGACCTCCACCACTCTGAGCCTCAACCCGAGCGAGGCGCCCTTGGGGAACTTCCCAGCTGAGCGTACCGCCGCCAAGCGCCACGAATGCAGCTCCTTATCAGGTACACCAGTCACAGTGCGCCCCCACAGCATCGCCGCGGTGGGCCCAGCACGATGGACCATCTCGGTAGCCGCGCCAGCTGAGCGAAGCACCCCTAGCCTGCGTCCTCGGCGAAGGCCGCTGACCGCACGCACAGCTCCTTCATGAACTCCACGACGAGTGATGTTGGCGTCGGTGCCGAGGTTCCTCGCCTGAAGTCCCCTCTTGAAGGTAAAGCCATGCTCCGCCCAAGCCTCAGAGAGCTCCTTGGCGAGCTGCGGCGACGAGGCCAGGAAGACCGACTTACTCTCGTTGAGTGGGAGGTGCTGCTCACGCAGCTGTCGGACCACTTCACAACTGGCGGCAACCATCTGCAGCTTCACGAGCCGAGCCGTGCCGACCGCCTGGAGCGAAATGTCGTCGACAACAGTCCTCGGCGTGACCAACGGGCTCGTCGCCCCCGCTGCCAGGAGGGCTCCCAGAACTGGGAGCTTCGCAACTGCTGTCGCACACGCACACCCAGCCAGCACCGTTCCCGTAGTGCCGAAGGCGGGGGAGGCCATGCCCGCCGCGAGGATCATCCTGGGGGCCTGGTAGGACGTGAGGAGGCCGCGCAGCAACCTGAGGTTGAACCCGAAACGTACCGCATTCGCCCAGAGAACGTCGTGCCGCACGTGCTCGTAGAACTTGCTGGTGTCCAGGAAGAGGCTCGCGGCCTCGAACTGCAGGTTCGACTTCGCGAACCCCGCGAAACAGTTGTGCAGCCAACCAGCCCTCTCACAGTCCCGCCCATCACGTCCCCAGAAGAAGGGGAAGTTGTGGTCAGCCTCCCAGCGTGCACAGCACGGCTGGCGGAGGCGCGACCAGAGCCGCAGGACCAACGGCAGCAGCGCAATGGGCCTTACCCCACCGTCTGCCTTCGGAATGAACACCATCAGGGAGACCTGCCCGTGGATCGATGCAGGGGCCTCGTCGTAGGCCGCCAGGATGTCTAGGATGCGCAGCTGCAACGCCACTGGCAGAAGGAGGATCTGCCGAGGGTGCAGGGAGTCGCACCCGAGGCCCACCGAGGGGCTGTAGCGTTTGCAGGCCGCCTGGAGCTGCTCCAGCGAGATGGGGGGCAGCTGCCACTCGCCCACGTCCCAGCTGCTGGCCCCTGCGCCCGAGGCAAACCCGTCCTGGAGCCACAGCTTCTGCCAGACCCTCGTGAGTTCGCCAATCGCTGCTATACCCACAAGCCTCCTGCCCGAGTCGGCGTCCCTGACTGTCGGCGGGGGCGTCGCCTTCGAGAAACGGTGGGCCAGGCGACCGCCCTTCTCGACCGCTGTCTGAGCCCAGCTGCGCCAGGCCTGGGCGCTCTGAGCCGCATCGCGGCGCTGCGAAGCACCAAGCAGCCCTTGGAGGTCCCGAGCTGCCTCAGGGCAGCCGCGGACGCCCGCCTGGTACACCAGGTCGCTCAACCGCTCAGGATCAGCACCAGGAAGACCCTGACCGACCGAGTCGTCCGCCTCCTGCACCGCCTCCAGCAAGAGCTGCGCCCTGAGCTCGGCCTGGTGCTCGTACCAGTCCGCATGCCGAGGGTGCCATCGGCCAGTGCTCTCTGCGCGCACCCGCTGGAGGGCCACGTCAAGGCAACTCCTTAGGCGGTGCGTGAGGAGGCTGAACCTGAACCTGGCGTCCCGCCTGACAAGGGCGCTGAGCGGCTTGAGGGTCAGCCTCGGCCCCTCTCCTCTGCCGAGATGACGGGCCAGGTCAGCCTGGCCGATGCCGTGGATGCCGACCAGGGCGCCTTCTGCAGCTGCCGCCCACTCGCCGAAGGCGACGGAGAGGTTGGTCGGAGCCGAGCCCACGTCCCAGGACCACGAGACCTCCCTGGACGTGACCTGCCCCTTCTTGCCAACCGAGTAACGCACAATCCCCGCGTCCTCGTGTGCCCGAAGGAGCTCAGGGGCTACCTCGGGGAAGCGGGCGGGCCTGGACGGAACCTCAACCAACGCATCAGCCCGAACATCCTGTAGGCGAAGCAGGACAGGGCGATGTGGGTGCAGACCAAAGCCCTCGAGCGTGGTGGCACAGGAGGCCGTGCAGGCAGCCAACGCCGCAGAAGCCACGAACCAATCGTAGAGGTGGTCACAGCCCTCGGCACGGCACGTCGCCGCCGTGGGCCCCAGGACGTGCCCCCGCACTGCCGCGGGCCATCCCAACTCCTCCAGGGGCTCGGGCTCCATGTTGAAGTCCGCTTGGAGGACCCACGGGATGTCTGCATCGGAGCCCGTCACCTCCGAGATGGCCGAAAACATGTCGAGGTTGATGCCCCGAGGGCCCAGAGAGTGCTGAAAATAACCAGCAAGCACCAGAAGCCGAAGGCCCGAAGCTGCGGCAATCTCCACTCCGATGAGGCGGTGCCGCAATGCCGAGGGCAGCGGGGCCGCAGACTCGTCGGCCTGCAAGCCGTCCCGCACCAGGATCGCCACGCCGCCTGAGGTCGCCAGGGGCCCCTGCTTCTCCGTCAACACCGCCGCGTGGAGGAAGGCCGCGTACCCCAGGCCTCGGGCCTGAGCCGCCGCACTGGGCAGGCGCTCATGCGGGAGCCTCGTCTCCTGCAGCGTCACGACGTCGGGCCAGTAGTCGTACGCCTTGGAGAAGGCTTCAATGACCTCAATGCTCCTGCTCCAAGTATTGCCATTGCAGCCGAGCAAGACGAGGCCAGCTCGGAGCTGATGGCCTCCTGCCCTGTCCCCAGGCGGCGCCTGGCCGATGACGGCAGCCTCGCGAGCCGTGCGCTCCTGAACGCCAGGCCCCATGCCCGCCGAGCCCCTGGTCGCGGGGCCCTCCGCCCCCACCAGGACTGGAGGGGGGACCTGGCCCCACGCCCCAGCGCTCCTAGACGGCGTCGGCGGGCTGCTCGTCAGCACGGGAGGCGGCCACCGCTGGGGGGGGGGCCGCCCCTCCGCCCCTCCGGTAGCGAGCGGGGGGTGCGCCTGCCCTTCACCAACGGGACCGAGAGCTGCGACGACGTGGGGCTGAATCCCACCGCTCTCGGCCCCTAACTGGCCGTCGGGGGGCCACCTCGGTGTTCCCGACCGCGCCAGCTGGCTACTTCGGGCAAGGGCCTTGGGCGCCGCCCGCCGCCTGCGAGGGGCTCTGACGCGCCAGCGGCCGTCACAGCGCCTCCTCCACCTGTCCCAGCAGCTGGGCCCACGAACTGTGGAGGCTGGCCACTCCAGTCCTCCTGCGTCACCCACGGCGCGGCCCGTGCCCTGCAGCAGGAGCCACAGCAGCAGCCGCAGCCACCAAAGGGTCGCCGTCCGAGATGGCCGCCCCTTGCTCTGCGAGGGCCTTGGCGAGGCAGGGCTCCACCTGGGGCCACGCACCCCGAGTCGCTCCGTGCTGGCCACGGGCCACTGCGGGCCCGTAGGGCCCGTCCGCAGACCTGGCCCGTGGGGCGGGCGGCCCAGCCGCGGACTGCCCTGTCCGCGGGGCGCCAGGGGCGGGGGCGGCCACGGACCCACCCGAGGACACGATGTCGAGCGGCATGTCATCGTCCTCAGTCGCGAGGCCGTCGTCGCCAACGCTGTCGCCCCAGCGCTTCCTGGCCGAGCTGCTGCGGGGCCTGAGCACGTCAGCGACCGCTTCCTTCTGCGTGTTGAGAATGTCGACGATCTCCGAGAACCTGGGGGGCAACTCAGCCCCGTGCTGCTTGAGGAGGTCCGACAGGGCCCCAACCTGCGTGAGCAGCCCCTGGACAGCTTCCCCGAGCGGGCTCGGCACACCACCGACTGCCGCGTTGGCCCTCTGGATCGCCTGCTGCGTGACCTTGGCCTTGGTCTCTTCCAGCTCGGCAATCTGCCCAGTGACCTCATCAACTCCCAGCTCGGCCGCAGACAGCTGCTCCTGCTTCTCCGCGATGAGGTCACGCAGCTCAGCCGCCTGCAGCTGGAGCTTCTCCTTCTTAGTGCGGGCATTGGCCAGCTGACGCTCGACCTTCTGGATGGCGTTGGCCTCGATGTGGAAGACCGAGTGGGGCGGGCGCCCCGTCCGCTGGGCCTCCTGGGCCGACTGCTCGAGGGCGGCGACCTGGTCCCTGCCCTGCTGGAGGGCCTTCTCCGCCTCTCGCTGGAAGTCCTCCGAGAGCCCGAGCGCCGCGACCGCCTGGAGCTTGTCGACCCGCTCCTTGGCCGCCACGAGCTGCGCCTGGAGCTCATCGTACTGAGACTTGGCCTCTCCCAAGGAACGCTCACGCCGTGTCCTGCTGTTGGGGGCGCTGCTGGGTGCCGTGCTCCCAGAGAGGGCCCGCTGGGAGGCGGAGCGCCTCGCAGCGCGCTGGTCAGCTCTTCCCCTGGGCTGCTGCACGAACCCGTCGGCGTCCACCCGAGGGGAGACCTTGTCGGAGCGGTACTCCTTCGTCCATGGGGGAGCACTGGTGCCACACGCCTTGCACGTCCAACGCTTGTCGCACCAATTCCAAGCGTTGCAGCCACGCTTAGCACACAACCAGTAAGCCCTCCGAGCGAGCCCCGAGGCACCCTCCGACATGGCGGCTCACCGAGGGACTGGCCGCAGCTTGGCCGAGACACTCGGCCCTGCAGGAACGAAGAAGCACAAAATTGGCGAAGCTTCTGGCTCGTGGCAGAGCGCCCCTCGCGCTCAAGAACGCCCGACGGACTCGCGGTCGTCGGGTGCGCCATGGCCTTGAGCCAAAATGGCTACGGACCGTGCTCCTGTGTGGTCTGCCGTGCTCCTGTGGTCTGCCGTGCTCCCCACAGGAGCACGGCAGACCGCGCGTAGGAACCGAGAGGAGCACGGCAGACCAAGACGAGGAGCACGGCAGACCAGGCTTAGGAACCGAGAGGAGCACGGCAGACCAAGACGAGGAGCACGGCAGACCAGGCACCAAGAGCGCCCTCAAGACGACGGAAAGGATGACCAAGACGAGGAGCACGGCAGACCAAGACGAGGAGCACGGCAGACTATGCCCTAAGAGTGCCCTCAAGACGGCCGAACAACGGCAGACCCCATAGGAGCACGGCACCTGTGGTCTGCCGTGCTCCCCACAGGAGCACGGCAGACCGCGCGTAGGAACCGAGAGGAGCACGGCAGACCAAGACGAGGAGCACGGCAGACCAGGCTTAGGAACCGAGAGGAGCACGGCAGACCAAGACGAGGAGCACGGCAGACCAGGCACCAAGAGCGCCCTCAAGACGACGGAAAGGATGACCAAGACGAGGAGCACGGCAGACCAAGACGAGGAGCACGGCAGACTACGCCCTAAGAGTGCCCTCAAGACGGCCGAACAACGGCAGACCCCATAGGAGCACGGCAGACCACAGAAGAGCACGGCAGACCAACAGGAGCACGGCAGACCACACAAGAGCACGGCAGGCCACACAGGAGCACGGCAGACCACACAGGAGCACGGCAGACCACAAAGGAGCACGGCAGACCACACAAGAGCACGGCAGACCCCACAAGAGCACGGCAGACCCCACAGGAGCACGGCAGACCCCACAGGAGCACGGCAGAGCAGACCCAAAAGGAGCACGGCAGACCACACAGGAGCAAGGCAAACCACAGGAGCACGGCATCCGTAGCCATTTTGGCTCAAGGCCATGGCGCACCCGACGACCGCGAGTCCGTCGGGCGTTCTGGAGCGCGAGGGGCGCTTCGCCAAGAGCCAGAAGCTTCGACAATTTTGGTTCTCCTCGTTCCTGCAGGGCCGTGAGCTTCGGCCGGGCAGCAGTCAGTCCCACGGTGTGCCGCCATGTCGGAGGTTGCCGCCGGGCTGGCCAGGCGGGCGTACTGGCTGTGTGCTAAGCGCGGCTGCAACGCTTGGAACTGGTGTGACAAGCGGTGGACGTGCAAGGTGTGTGGCACCAGTGCCCCCCCATGGACGAAGGAGTACCGTACCGACAAGGGCCCCCCGAAAGTGGACGCGGACGGGTTCGTTCAGCAACCCAGGGGAAGGGCTGAGCAGCGGGCAGCGAGGCGCTCGGCCTCCCAGCGAGCCCTCTCGGGGAGCACCGCGCCCAGCAGCACCCCCAACAGCAGGGCACGTCGTGTGCGGCCTTGGGGAGAGGCCAAGTCCCAGTTCGTGGAGCTGCAGGCGCAGCTCGTGGCGGCCAGGGAGCGCGTCGACAAGCTCCAGGGGGTCCTGGCGCTCGGGCTCTCGGCGGACTTCCAGCGGGAGGTGGAGAGCGCCCTCCAGCTGGGCAAGGACCAGGTCTCCGCCTGTGAGCTGGCCGTCCAGGAAGCCCAGCGGACGGAGCGCCCACCGCACTCGGTGCTCCACATCGAGGCCAACGCCATTCAGAAGGTCGAGCGCCAGCTGGCAGCGGCCCGCACCAAGAAGGAGAAGCTCCAGCTGCAGGCGTCCGAGCTGCGCGAGCTCATCGCGGAGAAGCAGGAGCAGCTGTCGGCAGCCGAGTTGGGAGTGGATGAGGTCGCGGGGCAGATTGCCGAGCTGGAGGAGACCAGAGCCAAGGTCACGCAGCAGGCGATCCAGCGGGCCAACGCGGCCGTCGGAGGGGCTCCGAGCCCGCTGGGGGACGCCGTTCAAGGGCTGCTCACTCAGGTCGGCGCCCTTTCAGATCTCCTCAAGCAGCACGGGTCGGAGCTGCCTCCTCGGTTTACCGAGATCGTCGGGATTCTCAACACGCAGAAGGAGGCGGTCGCCGAGGTGCTCAGGCCCCGCAGCAGCTCGGCCAGGACGCGTTGGGGCGACAGTGTCGGGGATGATGGCTTCGCGTCCGAAGATGACGACATGCCGCTGGACAGCGTGGCCTCTGGGGCGCCCGCGGCCGCCCCGCCCGCGGCAGCCCCGCAGACAGGGCCCACCGCGGCTGGGCCGCCAGGCCCGCGGGCCAGGTCAGGGGACGGACCCTACGGCCCTGCAGTGGCCCGCGGCCAGCACGGGGCGACCCTGGGCATGTGGCCTCAGGCGGAGCCGTGCCTCGCTAAGGCCCTCGCCGAGCAAGGGGCGGCCCTCACGGACAGCGACCCCTTGGTGGCTGCGGCTGCTGTGGTTGCTCCTGCTGAGGGATACGGGCCGCGCCGTGGGTGACGCGAGAGCGTCGGAGTGGGCAGTTTCCTCCGCCGACCCCGACGTCTGGGACAGCGGAGCGCCCTTCCTTTGGGACATGCGAGGGCCTAGCTGCTGGGACAGGTGGAGGAGGCGCTGTGTTGGCCGCTGGCGCGCCCGCGGCCCCCGCAGGCGGCGGGCGGCGCCGAGCACCCTTGCCCGAAGTAGCCAACTGGTGCGGTCGGGAACACCGAGGTGGCCCCCCGACGGCCAGTCAGGGGCCGTGAGCGGTGGGATTCAGCCCCACGACGTCGCAGCTCTCGGCCCCGATGGCGATGGGCAGGGGCACCCCCCGCTGGCAACCGGAGGGGTCGAGGGACGGCCACCTCCTCAGCGGTGGTCACCTCCCGTGCTGGCCAGCCGCCCGCCGACGCCGTCGAGGAGCGCTGGAGCGCGGGGCCAGGTCCCCCCTCCAGTCCTGGTGGGGGCGGAGGGTCCCGCGACCAGGGGCGCGGCGTGCCCTGTGCCAGGCGCTGGCCGACGCGCAGTCCGCGTGGCATCCGTCATCGGCAAGGCGCCGATGGTCGACCGGGCAGGAGGCCAGCAGCCTCGGGTTGGCCCCGTCTTGCTCGGCTGCAGCTGTCACACGTGGAGCAGGAGTATTGAGGCCATCGAGGCCTTCTTCAAGACGTGCAGCTACTGGCCCGACGTGGTGGCGCTGCAGGAGACGAGGCTCCCGCCTGGGCGCTTGCCCAGTGCGGCGGCCCAGGCCCGCGGCCTGGGAGACGCTGCCTCCCTCCCCAAGGCAGAGCTGTCGGACAAGCAGGGGCCCCAGGCGACCTCAGGCAGGGCGGCGATCCTGATGGGAGACGGCTTGCAGGCCGACGAGTCGGCGCCCTTGCTGCCCTCGGCCTTGCGGTACCGCCTCAGCTGTGTGGAGGTGACGGGGCTCTCTGCCGACACCCCGTGGGTCCTCAAAGCCGACCTCAACATGGAGGCTGAGTCCCTTGAGGTGTTGGGATGGCCGCGGCGGCGCGGGGACACGTCCTGGGGCCCTCGGAGGCGACGTGCCTTGGTGAGGGCTGCGTCCACCTCTACGACTGGCTCGAGGCTCCAGCCCAATGCCCATCTCTGGGAGGGGATCTACGCTGCGCTGGACGTGCACACGCTCAAGATGACCATGGTTGCAGCCCACTGCATCGCCAGAGACGTGCTGGATGGCAAGGTCATGGAAGCCTACCTCCGCGGCAACGGTCATGCCGAACGCTGGGCCAAGGCAGGTGCGGAGCTGCACCGCGCCTGCGCTGTGGCCAGGCACGGGTTCTTCGGCACGATGGAGCTGGTGAGGGAGCTCTCATGCTGGGTGGCGCAAGCCTCCCTCATCTGGCAGGGGATGGCATTCGCCAAGTGCGAAGACGGCGCAGCCGAGCAGGAGCTGTTGGCGCGCACCCACTGCGGGGCGACCGCGAGGCTTGGCTGGAGCACAGGCGCGGTGCCCTTTCGCAGGGAGCGAGGCCCTGGCTCGGCGGTGGTTCGGCCTGAGCCAGCGCAGCCGAGGCGCAGCGTCGCGCCCAGGCTTGAGCTGCAGGTAGCTGGATGGGCGCGCTACTGGACCCAGGCTCCCGAGGTCGGCGAGACGATGGAATGCTACAGCGAGTGGATGGACCACTGCGTCGGCTACGTCACGCAGATCCTGTCCCAGCCGCGCTTCGCCACCAGGCTGCGGGCGCGTAGGATGACGGCCGGGGAGATGGCCGAGGAGATCTGCGAGCGGGCCTGGGGGACTGGCATGCCTGCGAGGCGGGCATACTACAGGTGGCGCCACACGCTGACGCGGTCGCAGTGGATCGTGGCGGACTGCAAGCGGCGCTACGACTACGTGTGCCTGCGGACGTGGCTGGCCGAGCTGCAGTGGGAAGGGCATCCTCCGCCCATTGGCCCGCTCAGAGCGCTCAGAGCGCCTTCGGTGCCGTGGCATGCGGGGCGCAGGAGGCGACGAAGAAGTGGTGAATGGTCAGCTGCGGCTGAGACGGCGCGCGAGGACAGGCGCATGAGACGCCGCCGCGCTGCCGGTGACGAGGGGCAGTGATGCAGCATCATCCTCTCCTTCTGTTGTTTCCGCCCTCGTCATCCCTTTCCGTGCTGTGCGTGGGGCAGCACTTCTGCCCATGATGCGCTCGCCGCCTGGCCCCGCGGGGGCCACGAGGGAGGCCTCGCTGAGCGCCTACGGCAGCGAGAGGCGAGCCTCCTTGATCTGTCAGCCGCGGCTGTCACGGCGCGTGAGGAACGCGCATAGACGCCGCCGTGCTGATGGTGACGAGGGGGTGCGACGCAGCATCTTCTTCTTCTTCGGTTGTGTCCGCCCCTCGTCATCCTTCCCTTTTCAGTGCGTGAGGCAGTTTCTGCCCATTGGTGCACTTGCAGCGTGGGGGGCATGTTGGGCGTGCGCGTGCGCCCCTGCCTCTGCTGCCTTCTTGATTTCTTTGAAATCGTGCGCTTTGCGCGTTGGCGCCTCGCG